CGCGCTCTCGCCGTTAGGCCGCGCTCCGGTCGTGCACGCAGGCGGCAGCGGAGAAGTGAGGAGCAGCCTGTGGCCTTGCCCGCAGGTCTCTCTGCCGACCCCTTCACCGCAGCCGGGAGGACGAGACTGCAGCAGAGACACCTCTCCCATCGTGGAGGGCCTTGCATTAAAGGAGAGATCTGTGCTGGTTACATCAGTCTTTCATCAGAGGCTCAAATGGTGCTGCCTAACATAACTGCACAGCCTTTGTATACGTAGAATAAACCCGTCCTAGCTCAGTCAGTCGGTTGTGTACTAATTTGTAATTAGTAAATAGCAGCAGAAACCTCTTTAAATTGCTGCTGTCTGTGCAGTTTATTATCCAGGCAGGGGGTGAGATTATATTGTCACAGATTTAAAACAAACCTCTGATTTAAGACGAGCTTAGCATACAGTACTGCCCGCATCTGTGGGAGTTTGGAAATCATGCAAGGCAAGTGCACTTATACGTGTTCAGAGCCTTAAATTCCTTTTAAAATATGTTTAATCCCCTGGGGCAGCAGGCATGCCTTCTCTTTCTTCCGGGTTTCTTTTTTTTCTGCTTTTCTTCTCGCAGTCTGGGAAATTTCCATCTGCCAAGAAGCAGCCAGGCTGTAAAAGGGGCACCATGCATGTTGAGCTACAGTTTAATCTCTCACTTCGTTTGCTTTAAGCATTGTATTTCCGTGTCTGTCTGCAGGAGCTATTTCTTTAAGTTAAATGTGTACAGATTAACAGGATCAGATGGAGCACCTCAAAACAGATTTCCAACGACAACTGTCTATCTTGGACTTTGGTTTTAACACCAGTGCCCCTTTTCAATATCTAGGTCTTGTTTTGCCCAGATAGGCTTGCCCTGTGTTTGCGAACATATCAGTTAGGAAAGCACAGACTGTTATAAGTCCAACTGAAAGCATAACAATTTACATCACAGAAACTAAAGATCAGGTTCCTACTCCTGACTTGCAGAGACACTTGAAAAGCAAAACTGTCATCAGTATTTGTACTTGCCTGGGAAAAAAGCCTTTTGAGAGTTGAATTTGATAGGGAACAAATGCATTAATTACTTTCGGATTTTGAATTAATCCTCTGATTCATGCTGTGGATACTGGGAAATCTAAATATAGCTAACATTTCATGTTCTCCTTTCAAGCTGACAGAAGTGAAACCAAGTGTGGGTTTTGTTAATTGGCAGGCTTTCAGTTTGGTCGTGCTGTGTTTCACAGAAGGAAGTTAACATACTGTTGTTATGAGTCAAGGGTAACAGAAAAGAAAAAGCAACTCAGGAAAGTAAATCAGTTTTTAAATACGCGTAAGTATACTGAAATAAGGATGTGATGTTGCCATCACCCCGCAATTAAAGGGAAAATCTTAAAATTCTAAGTGGTCAGTTCCACTCACCTGGTGGCCTAGCCCACATTTGTCTGGTGCAACAACAGTGATTCCCAGCTCGGTCGGCCTTTTATCAAGTTAACAGTTTCTCTCTAAGTGCTAAGTAAAGAAACCTTTCTTCATCTAAGAATTGCATGAAAGGTAAACCAAGAGCATCTAAAGCAACATGCTTTGAGCTGTGAACGACAAGTTTAATGGAGGCCTCCAGAAAGCTCCTGTCACAGCCGTTTTCTACTAAAGCAACCAGTTATTATCTTTGCGTGTTTTTGCAAGCACCCGGCTTTTGTCTAGTAATTTAAAAAAGTAGTTTTAACAAATATTTCAGATCTACAGATGCAATTGTGATGGGCATGGGGAAAGTACAACGGCAAGGCACTCCAGCCCAGAATTACAGTGTCTCTGGGGTACTTTTGTTGCTCTTTGCTGCTCGATTACGTCAGACCACCCTGCCATCTTTTTTTTTCGGCATTCACTGTGAGCCTGCCTATTTTAAATTCCTTTATTATGGCATATAATACCTTTCACTCATAATTTTGCTCTCAGTAAACTTCGAGCAATTAAGTTAGAAATCCCTCACTTAAAATTTAGTGTGGTTAGTTACAGTGATCTGATGGTCCAGTTCAAATTACTCCGGTGCAACAATGTGGACTTACTACAGACTCCATCCCAGCCTGTTGGACTTTCATCAAGTTGGGTGTAACTCTACAAAAGATTAAATAAGCCAATCTTTCTACATTTTTCAGCATGCTAGATGAATCATCATTGGTGAATTTTTATCTGTGCTGAGCCAAGTGGTGTGTTTAATTTATCTGGGCTAGAAAAGAGATCTGAGAAGCCAGTAGAAGATCTGTCTTGCCTGTGTTAGCAAAGGGAGCTCATTTCAGGGTTAGGTGGCAGAGAACTTCAGGCCAGACAAAACAGCAAAGAGCTGCATGGGGTTTTTTGGGGGGAAGTTTGTGTGTGCTATTGTGTGTCCATGGATACACTCTTAGTGATCGTTCTTAGATAGCCTAAGAAAAATCACAATTCACTTCCCAGGTCTGTGTTGAAAAGTATCATTCAAGTCCTCAATAAACGTGACAGAATCAAATATCATGTGCAGTTGAAAAAACTCTTTAAAATCTAAGCAAATATATTTCTCCCACCTTCGCCCCCGGGAGCCATAGTGCGGATGTTTCAGCAATTGTTTGAAGAGCATGCATAATAAGCTAATTTCCACAACCTCACCTCATATTTTCACATATTCATATTTTAGCTGACATGGAGCAAAGTCATTACCACTCTCATTTGCTCCATCTCAACCTCTTCAGCCTTTGAAAATTCAGGATATCATTATGCAGGTGGCCAGCAGATACGCCTTACCTTGAGCTATCTGCAGTACTCCCCATTAGATGTGGGCTGGTCTGTGTAGGATTGTTTCTCGGCGAGTCATGCAGATCCCTCTGTAGTTTTTTCTAGGCTGTGCAGTGCTATGCATGGTTAGCGGGCTCTGAGGGTGACATTGTTTCCTGAATGATGTAACTGAAAATTCCCCTTCCTGTGCTTCTTGTTTCCTGATCAGTTTTCTCTTTGTTCTCGAAGACATTCCAGCAGCTGCGTATCTTTTATTCCTGATCTTTTACTCCTACGAATCTCTGTGAAGACAAGTTATGTCAACAGCTACTTTAATTAACTTGGTACGAAACGGAGGGTATCAAGTAAGAAGGAGAGCCGTGCTGACGTCCCGCCTCTTGCAAGACGAGAAGCGTCTGACAGCCGCGTGCTACAGCTGCACCTCTGAGCGCCGTGCTTCCCGCTTCGATCCAGATGGGAGCGGGCGGCCTACGACATGGGACACCTTTGGCATCTGGGACAATCGCATTGACGAACCTATTCTCCTCCCACCAAGCATAAAGTATGGGAAGCCAATTCCAAAAGTCAGCCTGGCCAACGTGGGCTGCGCTAGCCATATCGGGAAGCGTAAGGAAAATGAAGACCGGTTTAATTATGCTCAGCTGACGGAGGATGTCCTATACTTTGCAGTATACGATGGACATGGTGGGGCAGCAGCAGCAGACTTCTGTGATAAGTACATGGAAAAATATATTAAGTAAGTGTGCATCAAGTGAATGTGTGTCAAATGAATTACAGTAGAGATTCCTTCCTTAGGACTGAAAGGCAACCGGTAGGTCATACATTGTCACTAATCCTCCTAGGTTATATAGCCACCTAGCCCAACAGGACAGCAGGAACACCGGACTGGAACTGTCCATTACAATGGACATGCTATGAACTACTTATTCTGTATGGTGCCTGCCCCATTGAGCAAGCCCGCAAAGACAACAGAGGAAAATACGATGGTACCCAGGAAAGGACTGGGAACACAGAGAGAGTGTGAATTGACTGTTTTCAGATGGGGTCACTGTGGTCACTGACCTACGGCTTGCTTATGGTCTTCTGTCACATCCCTGAGTGTTGGAAGAGGAATTTTATTTATTTGCAAAATTACAGGATTATGCTTCCAGTGCAGGTTGTTAGTAAAGTCATATTACCTTTTCACTGAAATCCAGCATTATTCAACGCATGGAAGGAGGAGATAAGGCTATCGAAGCAATTGATCAAGATGTATATTTCTTGGAAAGAAGTTTAATTTTTTGTTCGCTTGTTTGTTTCCAGAGAATTTCTTGCTGAGGAGCAGAACTTGGAAAATGTTTTGAACAAAGCTTTTCTAGAAATAAACAAAGCATATGAAAGGCATGCTCATCTGTCTGCTGATGGTAAGTAAAAAAAAATTCTACTCATGTGGGTGTGGAGAATAAGGTTTTTCTCAGTAGTTTTGTAGAAAAATGCTTGAAAACAGTTTTACTTAACATAGGATTTTGCTCTGATCACTTACTGCAAATGAAACAATTATGCTTTACCTCCTTAAAATGAAAAAGCTATAAAAAGTCTAAATCAAATTTACCAGGGGAGTTATTGATCTGAATGTAAGCATAATCATCAATGAATTTCTCTTAATGTGATTCTGTCAAGGAAAGCGTTTGTGAAGTTAGCAAAGAGTGATTTAGATCTGCAAGGAGCATAAGTTTACTGTGCGAGAAGCCTGGAGGGAGGGTTTGGTTTGGGGTTTTTTGTTGGGGTTTTTAGTGTTTGGTTTTTGGGGGGTTTTGGTTTTAGGTTTTTTTTTCTTTAAAAGCTGTTATTCCAGTGGGTTAAAAGCAACAGTGTCAAAAGCTCCCCTTTCTAACTTGGCTGCTGCACCTGAGGAGGAACGTAAGCCAAAATTAATACAATCAATACTGTTCCTGCACAAACAGAATCACAGGAGTAGCTGACTGTGAAAGGGAAAAAAGCAGTGAAGAGGAGAACAAGGCTGGCTGTGGTAAGGCTGTGGTAAAGCTGGCACCAGCCCTTTTAGACTCCTTAGTCCTGGCTGTGTATGTGTCTAGAGACTAAGCACATCTGAAGTTCCAGTTCCAGCAACTAGTTCCAGTTCTGTCACAGGAGTTTCCTCATCCATGAGATAAAATTTTAAGAGTCAGTTTAGCCAGTCTTAAAAAAACCAAACAAACAGACAAACAAACAAACAAACAACACAACCAAAAAACCAAACAAAAAACCTGTCCCAGTGCTGGTGCAGGTGCTGGCAAAATGACTGAGGTCGTTTCAGAAGAACATAAACTGTGAAAGTTTTCTCTCCAAGAAAGACTTGAAACCTGTAGGGACTGAAGTGATACTGTATTCTCAAGCTACTTTTCTTAAGCAATGAATGAATACAATCAAGTAATGGTGTGGCTTCCTGCACTTTAACTGCTAGATGAATCTAGGTAGACTCAAATATTTCCTGTCAGGACAGGTAGCCTGACTGTTGCAGCACTGTGAGGGATACACACCTTTCCTCTTACCTGGTACAAGCTAAGGTATCAGGGGTATCAGGAAAAAAGTCTTAAGTCCTGAAATGCAGCCCTTAAAAAAGGGGGATTAAGTCTATAAAGCTCATTTCCCCATTATATCCCATTTTGGTTTTTTTTATATTGAAATCCTTTAAAAATAATGATGTGTTAAAAAAAGTCCAGAGTCACTTTTGACCTACGGGGTGAGTTTTAACTGAGCTCATGAGAGACACATCAGTAAAGCAGATACGCTTTTTATCCAAGAGCCTCCTTGCGAATATGTTGTCTTGAAAGTCTAAATTCAAGAAAGTGTCTGAATACAGGCTTATGTGCTTCCCTGGATCAGGACCTTTCATTTTCGCTAACATGAAGATCCGTTATATTTGTCCCCCTCGCCACCCCTTTGTTAGTAGGACAGCTCTTGGTTTCGCTCATTGAAGTGACCTCTGTTAAGTGTCAGAGCAGCTCCTAGAGGAGAAGGATTGGGAACTGTACTTAGTATATTATTCTGTTATTCTGAAAAAGGTTTCTGATTATGGCATTTTGTACATGAGACTTATGGAACTGGATAACAACAGTATTTGACATACAAGTTGTGCAGCAGGCTGAGCATTTTGGAACTGCTTATAGGATCATTTTCGTATCATTTAACTTACTGGTGCTGCTTAATGAAATATAATGCAAATGCCAGCAAATTTACATAACAGTTACCAAGATACTGGACAAACCCTCTTCATTAAAAAAGCTTGAGGTCAAGCAAAATACAGGGCAAAAGCTTTGTCAAACATCCACAGGGGCCACACTCTGGCAAGCACTCGGTGTTTCTCAGGTAGGCTGAGCACCTGCAAGCTCTTGCAGGAGCCAGTGAGATCTAAACGTGCCCGGTGCTCTTGACTGGTTGCCCAGCTGAAAATCAAGCTATAAGGCAAAAAGTGGAGTAACAGGCTTACAAGTGCGGATTTCTGAACAAATTAAACTTTTTGCATATCTGTTGTTAAAATAATTCAATACTATGTTGACTGCTTGGTGTGGATATTTTTGTTGTTGCTGCTGTTTTGAAAGTTATGTAAAATTTCAATGCTTGTCATGTATCCTTGTTAGAAGCCTACTTCCAAACTGATTCGGTTTGCCAGCAAAATTTCTGATTAATTGTGGCTATTCTAGATGTGACAGTCAAGACTGCTGCTAAAGTACCTTGAAAATGGTGGCTCGTTATGTAACACTGGGTATCTGGGATACGCTGGATGCTCCCCAAGATTGACCTCCTTTTGAAACCTGGCCATAGCTGACAAAGTGGAAAGTAATAGCTTAGTCTTGTTTCAGTAGATGACCCTGCCAGGGTTCACTCCTTTCACTGTATCTGCAAAAAAACCAGAGCATGTTCAGGATGTCCAGGTCTTTACTAACACACGACCAGCTTTGAAAGTGTGTGCCTGGCTGTTTGAAGGAACGTAAGTCCTGGGACAAATCTCTGTAGCCAAAATTGCATGGATATTGTTTGACGCACTGTTTATAATACTATTTAAGGGGTAAAAATCTCATATAATGGCACAAATTTAATAGGACTGGAGATGTGCCTTGTTGGAGCACCTAGCTATGTCTCCAAGGGCACAGCCCTTTGTAGGTTACTTTACAATTACAGAATATTTGAAGTTATGGATGGAAAATACATAGCATAATAGTTTCTGTGAGCTTTCAATAAAAAAAGGTATATGTATGTGTTCCAGGTACTGCTACTGTGTCTGGCATGCAGTTCACTAGTGCTGTTGGAATGCTGTACTGGTCTGCTGGAGATGGGTCCAGTATCCCCTCTGACAGTGATCTGTACCTGTTGTTTCACACAAAAGCATAAGAAACTTGCTGTAGGCAGATCTGGGATGATCTGTCCTCCACCTAAATCCTTTCTAATCATTAACAGCTTAGAGATATGCCTGAGCCCTGAAGCATGGTGTTTGATATCTCTTCAAAAATGCATTTTCATTCACTTCCATGCATTTAAATATATCCAGTCATTTTTAAATCACTGCTAAACTTAGGTATAGGACACAGTAAAAGAAGCTTATGTCCAACAAATATGTCATTATCCGTGGGACAACTGTTAACACAGATGGACAGAATTTTCTGATATTTTTGACCAGCCATAAAAACTGAAATGTAAAGGCTGAATAGCTTTGCTCAGCAAGGGCAGAAATAAGGAAGTGAATCATATGCTTGAGGAAATTTGAGCATCTCTCTAGAGAAACGTAAGACAAACCCTCTCCTGGCCTAGTGCAGTCCTACAAGGTACTGCTACTGCTTCTGTTCACTGCAATCCATACTTGGAGAAAACAACAGGGAGTCCTTCCATCGACCTCCACATTCAGTGCATCCAACTCTAATCACATTGGCCGCTCACTTCTGGAATAGCCATTTTATTAAAACATAGCCAGGTATTAATTTATGTATCTATGTTTGAAGGTCACTCCTGGAATCTTATTATGCTGAGCAAACAGCAAAAGTTATTTGAAAATAACTAAATTTAAAAAGTAGTGGGTTTTGGTTTTGTTTTTTTAAGTTACCATTCAAACATATGATTTTTATTTCTTTGAATATGTTAACCTGCAACACTGAGGAAAAGGGAGAGCTGCAGAAATGGTATTTAAATATTTCATTAATCCATCAACATTACAAAGGCAGCCTTTTTATCCAAGGGCCCTGATTATTACCTAATCAAGTTAGAAGATACTAATTGCAATATTAAAGGGGTGTATATTTTGCATATTTTCCCATGGGTCAGAATGATTTCAGTGCCTTTAAGATGGCCCCATTTTAGTTGGCACCAGTTTGAACTCCCCATTTTTATGTTATATATAAATGTATATATAAAAACAAATAATTACCTTGAGGAAACAGATTGGGCCATATTCTCTACTGAAGATGTTCTTCAGAGTGGCCACTCTTGCCATATATGAGACAGCTGGCCCTCTAGCATTGGTAAAATTCCTTGCTTGATTTGTTGGTTGGTTACTTACCTCCACAGGAAAAAAAAAATGTAGCTTTTGTTTTAGCTGAATTTAAACTGGTTTTGTCACAGTTTTAGCGAAAAGGCTAGAACGGTGGCAATTCCGCAGAAATACCAAGACTGATTTATCTGTGGACAAAGATGCATGTGTAAGCCTCAAGTACTTCCTATACGACCTGCAAAAGGCAGTGCAGGCAAACCCAAGAGTGACTACTTCCCCTGTTTTGCAGCCCTTATTCTTTCATCTCCAGTGTTGCAGGTTTATTTTGTTTGAACAAGTCCCTGGGTGAATTTCCTATTTGCCTCTGTGTGCGTGTTATTTGTGGCAGACACTGTACCTGGTCAGCAGCTCTAGAACTGGAGGCCCTGGACACTATATGCTGGGCTTCAGTGGAAAGAGAGATCTGCTTAATTTTGTCCCAGGTGAAGGAGTCCAGCGGTTCCTAGCCTGGACTACTGGAAGGTTCCCACATCCTCTTTGTCACATTAGTTGAGATGACTTGCAGTAAAAGTTGTCCAGTGAGTGTTAAGACCTATTGAAAGATCTTAGTTTTATAGTGATATTGTTAGGAAAAAAAAATAAACTCTTTAATTGTTAAAACTTATATATATGCTGATGCAATGTATTTTGATATTATTAAATAACCTAGCAGCAGTTGTAGTAAAGCATTAGAAATGTTACCCCATCATCATTCCTGTGTTTTTGAGCTGTGCTAGAAATCACATAATGCTTGTAGTCTAGCTACATCCATGTTCTTGCACCCCTACCCAGATCATGAACTGGTTCCAAGGAAGAGAGCATGAGCAGCATTTATTTTTCTAGGAGCGCTGTTTAACTAACAAACATATATAAAGCTCAAGTCACTATGACCATTACCACAATTCTGGAAAATACAGACTTGTTCTTTAGTACCATCCCTTGATTTTGTGATAGCGGCTCTTTTCTTTGGGAGTTTGCGCTTGAAAGATGCAGATTCACCTGGATGTCCAAATGTTTCCAGTCATTTGTGAGCTAAAGACTATGGATCTTAACTTTTACAGAAACTGCTTATGTTTGTCAGCATAGTTCCAAAACCAAGGAATGAAATGGGAGAGTAGCAGCAGTTCTGCATTAATTTTATCGTCTAAATAAAATGTATTTTCTGTGAAATAAAAAGGTAGTTTTACGGAGGTTCTTCATTTCACTTCTTTTAACTGTTGGCTAAAACAGGTATTTTACTGGTTCTACTAAAATTTCTCATTGCACTGGTACTTGTTAGCATCTTACTTTTATAATGTGCCTCAAAGGGAGCCTGCACTGGACTAGTCCTTGCTTCAAATTAGAAACAGGATGTCAGTGCTTACCTGAATAGTCAGAAGCTACCGGCATCTAAATAGTTTTGAATATCATAGCCTGCATGGCAGCCATAACGTAGTCCAAGATTTGACCTAGGTCACCATGGCTGATGTTCATGATTGATGTGTTGGTTAAGTGTATAGCTAAACCAAGTCCTCACTGCAGTAATAATACCTGTTTTAAATAATAACACAAGCTTAGTTTAGATTGTTTTGTGAAGTTTTTTGGATTCATCACCTCACTGCTTTCGCTGCACAACAAGGCTCAATGCATCTTTCAGGGCTTTGTGCACTTCAATTTACTTCCAATCCCCTTTTACTTATGGGGTGCTGAGACCTCGCAGGGTTGGGGAAAGAGGTCCCAACCCAAGATCCCAGGGCACTCGCATTTCTGTTTCCATAGTATGCAGGGGGTCGTGCCGCGTATATGCCATTTGCTGGCAGCTGGTCGGAGATGGGGCTGGCTGGCCTTCCTCGGGCTCAGACGCGCAGTCCTGTCTCAGATCCATCCCGCCTCCCTGGGGTCAGGGCTGCAGGGCCAGAGGTAGGAGTGCATGCAATTGTAGCTGAGCTGTGCAGAAACGGTGGTGGAAAGATCTTTAACTGTTAGTCATGTGAAAACAGCAATGTAATTGGGGATTCTTATTCCTAAGTTAGCCGCAAACCCCTCTTGAATTGGTTTGCTTTTAAAACCAGAATGCCAGAGACCTACAGAGGGCTTTTCAAGGGGGTTTGCATTGGCTGTGAATGCAAATGTGTTCCAGGCAATAGCTTGTACTGGCCAGACATTTTACTGTAATAGCTCAAGTTGGCAGGAGTTACTGCTTTCCAGGCACCTCTGACTGGGTTACCTGTGCATAATTTGCACGAAGGGAAGATAGTAACTCTAAAATGGGACTGCTTCTTTCAAAAAGCAAAAAAAGGAAGGCAGGACAGTTCTTTTGGCATTTCCTTCACTGCAGATAAAACTGCAGATCTTTTCTGAAATGGGCAGACTCACATTTCTCCTTTTCAAGCACTTCTTTTTTTCCAGAGTGTTGTAGAAATTGAAATGAGAAGCCCTGAAATTTACTTGCACCAGTTAATCCAACGAGGTCCCTGAACACGGTCAGTCAGCTCAGCTCACTCCCTTACCCTGTAAGAGAAGGAAGACAGCAGCTAGGGCTCTGTTTTCCCCTCTAAGCAGTCACTCTACACTGCTGCCGAGTGATCCCACCAGTGCCCAGGGCAGATTGCCCAGAGAGCCACTGCCAGCATCGGTTTGCAGGCGCAATGTGAGGCAGAATCCAGCTTCACCTTTGCGCTGGGACCTCCAGCAAGTGGACAGGGTCTGAAGGGAACAGCATTCCTTTATGAAAAAAGCCAGCAGCCTGCTAGTTGAACCCTTCGTATCTTGGCAAGGCTGGGGGAAGAAGAGGGAGATTGTACAACTCTGACAGCAAGGGGAGGACCCCACAGACTGGGGTAAAGGAGCGATTTAGTGTTTCTCTTCTGGTGAACTATGTGGAGCCACAATTACTATTACTCAGTTGCCCACTTCACCCCTAACAGAAGGGAAGAGCCATCAGCTTTATGGTAGGCTACCCGTGCAGTCACTGTGCCCGGGGATAAGGACAATAACCCTGTAACTTGAGGTGAGCTGGTGGGACAGAAAAACTATTTGCTACAAGCTGAAAGGAAGCCACTGTACCTTGTACCGTTTTAATTCCACTTGCCCTCTTTGCATGGAGCCATGTTGTTGCACAGAAATACTTATCCTTTCCACTTCCTCTCTCTCCCCCCAAGTCCCACATGCATGCATGTTTGCTGTTTTTTTTTTTTTATGTGTAGATTTAGTTTAAACTTAAAAGCAGTTACGTACTGGTAATGTAGAGCACAAGTTGTGTTCATTTTACCAATTGAAACTGGTCCCATGCTTTGAGGCAGTGCTAAAACCTCTCTCTGTGCTATGACATTTATAGCAACTCTGATGAACTCTGGGACCACTGCAACAGTGGCTCTGCTCCGGGACGGCATTGAGCTGGTTGTGGCAAGTGTGGGAGACAGTCGTGCTCTGCTGTGTCGAAAAGGAAAGGCCATGAAACTCACCATTGACCATACTCCAGAAAGAAAGGAGGAGAAGGAAAGGTACCTGTCGACTGATGATGTGGCTTCCCAGGGAACGGCCTCGGTCAGGATATGCTTGTGTTCTGCTGCAGGGTTGGGCCTGGAAGAAAGCAGAGAGTTGAACATAATGCCCCGAGACCATCTCTGAGCTGGCAGAAAGCGGCACAGCTCCAGTTAATTCATTTGGTTCTGCTTAGAGGACCAGGGATGTGGAAAGCCCTGCATGAGCATGAACTGTCTCAGCAGTAAGATCAGCACAGCTAGAACTTGGTACAGAGCTGTGATCACACGGTTCAGACTTGTCCAAGACTGCCAAGTTAGAGGCAAGACCTGAAGAAATGCACTATGGTTCCCAGGTCAGGACTCAGCCCACCAAGCCACATCCTTTCTGTGGAGCCCTTCAAACAGCAAAAGCCAACCCTCAGTCTCCCAGCTTAGATCCTCGGTACCCCATTCCGCATCAGTAGCTAGTGACAGAAATTGCAGATACAGACAGGGGTAATGGTGTGAAGCAGTAACTCATATTCACTTTTTCTTTTGTGCCTCTGGACAGGATTAGGAAGTGCGGTGGCTTCGTTGCCTGGAACAGTTTGGGACAACCTCATGTGAATGGTAGACTTGCAATGACGCGGAGCATAGGAGATTTGGATCTTAAAAACCGTGGTGTGATAGCCCAGCCAGAAACAAAAAGGGTTCAGGTAAAAGAAGGGCTGGTTAACAGGGACAGCAACATTCGGACTAAGGGGCATCATAGGTATTTGATGCAGGTGGCAGTACCCACATGATGTGCCCAGGTGAAGCCTGATGGCCAAGCATTGTTTTTTATTCATGGTGAAGTAACTGGAGACCAATTCTAATTAAGTCATTTCAGATTAACACTAACAGGACAGAAGAGAATCTAGCCTTGATACTAAATTCAACCAGACCAACTTCTAAACCCCATTTATCACAGTACAATGTAGGATGAGGGAAGAAAGATAATATGTGATATCCATTACTGAAATACAAAGGTGTTAGTCTTTTGGGGGCTTTTGGTCAAATGAGTAATTTTGAGGTTAATACTGATGTAAAACCATCACTGAGAACTAGGTGGGATATGGATGGGCTGTCATCATAAAAAGTAGAATACATAGAGGTTTGCACACTTAGGAGGAAGGGAAGAGGAAAGGGCAGTTGCGTGCATCTTACCATAGCTCTGTAGTTGTCCAGAAAACAGATTAACCACGCAGAACGTATTCAGCACAGTTGCCTTCACTTTTGCAGGAAGGCTGTCCTCTCAGCTCGTATTCTGTTTGTTACTTTTCACCTCCCAGGGCACCTCCCAGGGCCTGGGGAACTTATATTCAGTGGGTTCTAATTAAACGCCACCCACTAGGCCTGAGGGGTTTAGGAGATGACCACAGTGCTATCATGTCTTCCTTGAAATCCTCAGTTTAAGGAAGCATTTTGTTTACTGGGTAATATATGGATCTGGTCTTCTGGCCTCAGTGTATTCAGAGGACTGCTTCCTAGAATTGGAAGCACATTATGACACTGTCCTCCAGTACAGGGAACACAGTCTGTGTGGCTGATGGATGTGCTCGAGGATTCAAGGGTCAGCCTTTGGCTAGCCGAGGGTTTGGGGGTTCTAGTTAGTTCTTGCACAGAAAGCAGGAGAGCACGCAGCACTCCCAGAAAAAGTGCTTTGCAACAGAGCGTAAAAAAATGAAGGCAGTTAATTTGCCTTGCAGCACTCGCTCCATCGTTGTGCATACTGTGTGCCTTTATTGCAGTTGCATCATGCAGACGACAGCTTCCTGGTCCTTACTACAGACGGTATTAACTTCATAGTGAACAGTCAGGAGATCTGCGACTTCATTAACCAGTGCCATGATCCTGCTGTAGCTGCCCATGTTGTTACTGAGCAGGTAATGCCAGGGCTTCTCTTGGCACCAAATGCTTCTTGTTGTTTTTTGTTTGGTTTGGTTTTAAAAAAACAAGTATACAACCACACATTCAAGTGAATTGATGGTTGAGACATTCACTGGTCCCGCCGGCTAGCCTTCTCCTTACCCTGGGTCTTGCCACATCCTTGCCAGCCATCATTTCAATTAACTTGCTTAGCTCACAATCCACTGAACTGCGTGGGACCGTAACTGCAGTTTATTCCTGTGTGAGTATGTCATCAGCATAGACAGAAATGGCCAGTTTCTCACCAGGGTTCTGGATGGTGGCATATCCTATGGAAAGCTCTGGGGCATACCAGAATGCAGCGTCAGGGCTGGGAAGGGGGAAGGAAGTCTTGGGCCTCAGGGCATGCTGTCCCATGTGGAGCCAGACACTTGTTTCCGTTTCCAAGCAAGACGATGATGCTGACAATTTGTTTCTTCTCTCAGGCAATGCAATTCGGCACTGAAGACAACAGCACTGTTGTCATAGTGCCATTTGGAGCATGGGGAAAGTACAAAAACGGTGAGATCAACTTCTCCTTCAGCCGCAGTTTTGCTTCCAGTGGGAGGTGGGCATGAAGACCTGCCACAGCTATCTTTTCCTGCCACAGTCTGGACAGCGTGCTACAGGAGAACACATCCATCTGTTCATAGGTTGACTCAGTGTCTTGTCCATCTCTTCTGTTCCTAGTGTGATAGAAGATGCCACTGCTCCCTCGGTGCATAATGCCCCGTTGTTGCTTATGGCTGATCGCATTTTGCTGCGTTTATTTATTCCAGTCGGCATTGAGGCAGCTATTTCTTTGGGTTTGTAGTCCCAGCAGCTCTGCACATCACTTTTTTCGCACAGAGGAGGCTCTGGGCTTTCACCTAAGGCTGGAGATGTTGCACAATTGTTTCATACCTACCTGTATTACCCAGGACCCTTAGTTACCTGGCAGCTGTGTAAGTCTGAGTCTGAGCCGCGTGCTGGCTTCTTTGTACGTTAATACACGGGGGAACAAACACACAGTGTTCTTAGGTAGACAAAAAGCAGGTTTGTTGTCTTCCTCTGCTGTGTAGCCACCCAAAACTCCCCTCGAGAAGTGGGTGAAAAATAAGGGAGAAGTTTCAGAAGTGTTTAGGTTCTGATGCCAGTGGCATTTGGTGTAGCTGAACAACTTCCTGAGACAGTGCTGCTTTGCAGGGCTTTATGCTTTCACTGCCATCATCCGTGATCCTCTAGCTCCAAGGAGACAGAGCAGGCTGGAGCCACATGCCGTTGGACGGATGGGTCCAAAGCCTGTACGGTCTCTGTGGACCACGCAGCAGCCCCTTGCACTGTCTTCTCTTTGGTGTGCCAGTGCTTGACAGGAGCACAGAGGAGGGAAAAAGCTGCATGTTTTTGATATTCAGAGTCTCTCATCAACTTTAATCTTCTTTTTTTTCCCTAAAAAAAAAGAAAACCAGCTAACTTCAAAGAGTTTACTAATCAAGATTCTTTGGATGTGTAAGACAGGAGAGTTTATTTCTTCATAAATATATGAGGATTTTCCTGCCCTCCACGGAAGATTTCTTTCAGTTAGTTGTGATCTCCTGTGTCTCTTCATGGTATACAGGGAGCTGTAAAATGCCCAAAGCAAGCAAGCTAGAGAAATGAGAGAGCATTATAGTAATGTAAGGTAATCTTTATAAGTTTTGGGTATTGTTTCTAGTAGGTGTCAGATATTCAGACACCAGAAGGTAGTTTTGTACTCAAAGGAAGCGTTTCCACTTCCCTTTCCGGAGGGAGTCTGTGTCCAGTGAGGCATGGGGGGGCCAGAGCTCTGAGCCAGCTCGTATCCCTGCTGTGACACGGACTGCAGGTGACGTGTTGGCAGCCGGCGAAGATCTGTCCCAGCGTGCCTCGTTCAGACCTCCTTCCTCTGCTCCACATCAGGTGTGCAGCTCCTGTGGCCTCCGAGTCACCCTGTTGCAATGAAATACGAGCAGAGAAGAATTGGGCTCTTCTCAGACTTGCCACAGTATTTTTCATTCTATGGATGTTTCCAACAGCACAATTGTAAAAACAAAACAAAAAAAGTGAAAGAGAAGTTGCCTGATACTAAATCACCTTGCAATAAGGAAAAATATTTCTGAGATGCCTGGCCTGATTCTTATTTTCCAGTGTGAAGTTCGCATCTTCATTACTTTTAGCCCTTTCCTTTCAGCCCAGGGTTACACCTTAGGCAGTCATTCCACATGTCTTTCCTTGCCTTTGGTCGAAGGCCTAGCAGCACCCAGCAGAGCACAGCATTAAGTACTAGGTGTTTAGAGAGTACACTGCTTTTGTGCCATCACTTGGTGTATTACTTGGTGTATATAATGTGTATATTTGGTTTGTAAGTATGAAGAGCTTGTGTGTTGGTATATGTAAATCTCTGTTGTACTGGATGCTGTTGCCCAGGCCTCCGTAACAAGCGCATCACTGGTTTACAATAATAATCCCTTCTATCTCCCCAGATTTTCCCTGGGGTCAGTCTTCACCTGAGGTCAGAATGTTTGCTGGTCATGGTCCTGGACTCAGCCTCGCTTACCTGAGGCAGAGGGGCACTTCTAGTTGTTACTAGTGAGAGCAGGTTCTCAGTCTGTGGCAACTTTGAAGATTCCCACAACCCATTTGTGGCAAAAATGGCAAAACGCAGCCTCTCCTGAGCACTTAAGGAGAGGTCAAACCTGACAGAGGTTGAGAGAGCTGCTCTGGGAACGTGGTTATGACCGGTTCGCACTGCAGCGTGAACAGCTGACAGCCTTTCTCCTGCCACAGTGACCTGCTAGAACAGCAAGTCCGATAGTTCCTAGCAAAGGGTTAACCACAGCACGCAGCAGTCTTACTCTGGGCACAGTGAAAGGTTAGAGTCAAGCTCTGGAGAGGGAGTTGCTCTGGGGGTGGCTTCGGTATCGAGTGTCGGACGGGCTTGAGCAGTGCTGCAGGGATTTGGGCAAGCTCCATGAACGCTGTCCTGTTCCAAATGCTGCTCATTTCTGTTCAGCCGGCTGGCCATCTATCCAGACAGAAGATATGAAGGGTGTTGGGGTGTTCGTGACAAGTACACATTGATTTTTTTGAGCAGTCCTGGATACTTGCCAAACTGAAGACATGGTATTAAATGCAGGCTGCTAATGAAAAACACTGCAAATGAAGAGCAGGTGTTCTGAGGAGTGACTTGGCAGTTAGAGTACCTTCTAAACATTGACCCAGATCTAACATGAAATGACAGTTTCTATTCTCATTGGAGGTTTTGGAGCATTTTTTATTTTATCCCTATCTGATTGCCTGATTTCATAGAGAACAAAAGTGGTTGGGGGCTTTTATTTCTTCTAACAGAGTGGTTATCCTCTCAGAGGAAGGATTCATCCATAACTTCTTTTAAATTTTATAAAGGAAGGGATAAGACAAAGCTTTGCAAAATAGAAGATGATTAGTTAAAGATGTATTGGTGGTTGCTATTACTGCCTTTATACAATCACAGGAAAACTTAGATTGGAAAGGACTTCTGGGTGTCATCTATCTAGCCTCCTGCTCAAAGCAGGGCTAACTTCAGAATTGCATACTGCAGTGAAGGGATGTCTCCTGACATGGAAATGCAGTGCCTGAAAATAGATGGGAGAAAGAATTTAGCATGCAGAGTGGTTTACCTGTGGAACCACTTAATTGTATTGAAGTTGAAAACTTACCAGTATTTAACAGGCATTTTGAATAGCTACCAATAAATTTCACAAATAAATTAGCACATACTTAAAACTAAGATATGAGCCATTTTGCTCTAAGCAAAAGCGAATCAATAACTGACAGGAGATTAGAGAGATGCATTTCTTACGTACAGGTTATTCCCTGCCTGTTCACTCTATTTTTCTGCATCTCATTCTGAAGTAAACGAGCTACTGATGAAGATGAAATGCTTTGCCAAGTGGCCCAGTAGTCTGCCTGTTCCTCCTTCCGTTTAAGAACAGAGGTACCTTCACACCGGTTTGTGTGGATTCCTTACTTCATGCTGCACATGGCAAGACTCTGAGTGCCAGTTTGAAATGCATAGCATTTTGTAGAAACACTCCATGACCAGGACCATTGGTCTCTACCTCCTGAACCATGTTACTGCTTTTTCCTACCAAGATGACAGTAAACTCCCCTAAGATTTAGTGGCAACTGCACCAAACCTTGTTTTTCTCCAAGAAGTCGGGAAAAATCTGCAATTGCCAGGGTGATGGATTTTTCATCATTCATCTCTTTCTCACTGAAGAGTAATTAGAACAAGTCCCTGCCCTTGCATTTCAGTTTTGGGGCTGTTTTGACACTGACACCATCTTGGCAGAGTGAGCTTTGCCAACACGTTCATGTGTTGAGTGGGACATAGGTGTATGGCACTGAATTTGGAGTGCACAGACTATGAAGTTGGTGGAGTAAAGCCATGTTGGGTCAAATGAAAGTAGTTTGTCGTAGTGGTACCAGGGGATCAAATTAGCAGTGCCACGGTAACGTCCAGCCAGCAAACCTCTTGGCATAGGGTTCTCCACCAGAGCTAGGTACTGCTCTGCTGTGACGAAGCTGTACTTCTAGGTTTTTTCTATCATCTAGTCAATAAGCCTCCTGCTGCCTGTAGCAGCTCTGCAAGCAACCAGCTTTGCACCCCAGGGACCAGCAAAATTCTCTTGCCTAGCAGAGAACTCCTTTCAACTTGAGGACAAAGAGCAAATTGTCCTAACAACAGCAGTTGCCTGTCAGAGGTTTATTAAAGGATCAGTAGAATGAAATGAATGGATCTTTGAATGAAACGAATCTCAGTTTGCTCTCTAGCTCCCTGTCTTTCCCGTGCATCTGTTGTTTCAATGAAAAGAATGATACTTTCTGTTTATTACAAACTGAACTGAACATTAAGGGTGACCTACTGAGCAAACCGTAACAAGTGTTTACTTTTTTCCTGCCTTTTAGGGATGGATTCTGAACTCCATTGGATCTGGTAAGAGTATTTTGTTGCCTGAACACTCCCCCTGGAACAGTGGTATCTCTCACTGTACAGGCACTGCAGGAAGGTGGGCTGTGGGTGCAGAAAGGTGAAAAATAGTGTCCAGCTGTATACTCGTTTTTACTGTGAGGATGTGGAAGGCACAGGGAGCCTCATGGTGCTGGAGAATTTACTAGGAGAGGTGTTGAGTTCCAGCTCGGTCTTTCTGCCACCTAGAAAGGGGGGTTTCATGCTTTATAGAGGGAACTCACTATTTGCAGCCTTGATTTAGGAGAGCTGGTCTCTCTGGAAGGTGAACATAGTGCAAGAGATTGAAATGGCGATGAGATCCAACAGTTCGTTTAACACAGAGTCCTCAATACAATCAGTCCCTTTTGGTTGAAAAGCTCAGGGTTGGAGAATAATCACAAAGCGCAGTTTGTGGCTGAGAACAGGGGCGTGGAGAGAAATCAGCAATAGTACTGCTTTTTACATACTTGGGGGAAATCAAAATTGTGAGGAGCTTAGACTCACTGCAGGATTTCTGTTGACTTCCACAGGATCAGGGTATCAGATCACCTTTTCTGTCTCAGCAGGCTGGTGTGCTGTTGTCAAAGGCATTGGGATTTCTAGCTAAGGGAGAAGCACAGAACAACAGATACCAGTGAAACGGGTTTAATAG